CTAAACAGGTTGCCAACACTGCTACACCAAGAAGAACTAATATGGAATCAAAGGCACACAAGATGGAGGAGTTACGGAAACTTGGTGATGTAATGATGTCACAAATTGCTTTTTTAGAAAAGGTGTGTTCAGCGGCATCTGGGGCAGCAGCTACAGCTGTGGTTGATGTTGGTCATCAACCCATTCCTGTTGAGTCAGAGACTGATGAGCCGCAGGGACCCATGAGGGATACAGCCGGTGATGCAGGAGTTCAGCCAGGGTGTCTTCAGTCTTACCTGGTGTCACAGTTCAGGGGTTTCAAGAGCAAATTCTAATAAGCCAGTCCAATATCAGAAGTTCAGAGGACGCAGAGCCAATTAAAAAATGCCAAAGCCAAATCACAAACCATAAGCCAAGGTCAGGGTACAAAGCCAAATCACACAGTGTTGTCTGGTGTCAGAATCCAAAGCCAAGGGTCCAGAGAACAAGGTTCAGGGTAGTCAGGAGCGTGGATGCGAGCCAGAGATTTGACTTGTTGCTTCCACGAGCTTCCCAGCCACCTGGGAACGGATTGTATAGCAAAACAGTCATTGAACTGCTGGAAGCCTTTCATCCTGTCAATACTCAGGACTAGCTGACCTGGTGTTTCTGTGGGCAGCATTCAAGCGATCCTCTGACCTTTGCCTCATAAGTCTTTGCTGAAGTCTAGCCCTTACCCTGGCTACTGGGGGAGGAGAATCTGGTGGCGATTCAGCTGTCTGTGCTTTTAATTGCTCATCACTCTCCTCAGCTACAGTTAACCCCTCAGGTTCCGGATCTTTGGCTGAACTCATGATACTATCCCCCTCCGCAGGGCTCCCCCATTCAGATGGGCCGGGTCGATCAGAATAGGAGGCATGGAACTGTTGTACAAGATAAGGTGGAAGCAACAAGTTCAAGGTAGGTCTGATTCTAGTTGACAAAGGAACATCCCTGATGGATCAAGCTAGATCTATCAGAGATTTATCAGACTAGATCTCTAGCCCTTCACCTTGCCTCCAACAAAAGCCCAAAAGAAACACATGAGAGCACTTGTCTCCTCCCAGGGACATTTCTCAGGAATTGGTGAGATGAGGTGGTGTGAGGGGGGACACTTTGGCTGTCCCTGGCAAGCAGTCTGCCTCAGACCTGCATCCTCTGGCAGACCTCATCGAGACCCTGGTGGCATGTAATTTGGATTTGAAGAAGGAGGATGGGGAAGACAGGAAGTCACCTTTCTTGGATTCAGAAGATGAGGACTGGGTTGGGGCCCTGGAGGAGCCCCTTCTCATCTTCTGCACCCTTAGAAAAGACTGCTGCTGCTTCTGTTGCTGTTGCTGCTGCAGGACTCCTGAATGGGCAAATGGGTCTCCTTCTCCATGGGCAAACCATGCAGGGAGAGCATGCCAACCGTTGCCCAGGCCCCATCCTGACCCAGAGGCAGTGCTGGCACAGGAAGCACCACAACAACTACCTGGGCAGAACCTCCAGAGATGGGACAAACTCCTGGGACTCAGGAACCTGCATCGTCCTGGCATTACAGGCCCTCTCTAAAGGAGGTCAGCTGGCTGGAGTCAGTGTTGCAAACTAGGCCCCAGTACTAGACTGGTGATACTGGGAGCCCAGCAAATGGAACTCAGGCCTGGCTGGGGACTGATGACAAACAGAGGCTGTTACCCTCCAGAGACTATCAGGACAGGGAGAGCCAGGCACCTAACCAACCTTTTTTCCCTGTTCCCCTGCCCTAATGAAGACCAGTTCAAGGAGCAACAAGACTCTGGCATTCATGGAGCCTATGGCCACAGAGACACCGCCCCCCGCCCCAGCCATCCCTACCCTGGGTGACAGTGGCAGTGGCCCCAGGCAGAAACAGTGTTTAGGGTAGAGTGAAGAAAAAGCATGGCTCCAGGCAGTGTGCCATCACTCATTTTCACTTTTTTAAAGCATTTATTGAATCCCCTACTTCTGAATCCCATCTTTCCTTGAAAAAAGCTGAAAGGAGTGCCAATGGCTCCCCTTCCCTACGTTGCCATGGAGATCAGGCTGAGAGGTAAAGAGTGGCTGGCCCAAGGCCATACCATTAATTTAACACCTCAATGGAGACCAGATTCTGGCTGCCCCAAGTCCCGGCTCAACACTCACAACACCACTGCCACACACTGGCTTGTGACTGCCTACAATAGAGGAAGAGTCCCTAGCACCTCCTTGGCACAGCATTGCACTTCCTGCCAAGCAGATTCCAAGGAGAGCTGATATTCCTGTGGAGGGCATGATGTGGGAAACCACCGGCTTCTGGAATGGGCTTCCAGCAGATCCAGGCTTCAAAGGCACGAGAGAGGGAGGACAGGGGGAGCCTCCCTAGCAGTGGCACCGCACGCCGTTCCAGCAGCCAGCCGGGGGCTTCTGTCACTCCCCTTCTGTCACTCCCCTTTACAGGCCAGTCAGTGCCTGCGTGTCAGCTTGTTTGGGGGCAGACAGTGCCCAAGCAGCAGACCAGTACATGAGCTGGGATGTGGTGGTGCTGGGAGAACAAAGAAAACACTTCCACAAGGAGGTGTTGAAGGTCTACTTATGGCAGACTGGGGGTGGGGGAGGGGAAAGGACAGATCTGTTGGAAGACCTGGTTATAACTATAGGACTGAGGTAACAAGGGAAGGAACATATCCCCAATCAAGAGAAGGGTTAGGAGTAGTTATGTGGAAACCTGCGTCTGATCCCATATAAACCGCTCCTGTATCGGGTTCCGCTAAAAAAGAGAGAGAAATGACTCAGATTTAAACATACACACGAGGTATGTGCACGCATGGAGTAGTGTGCCAGGGGAACAGGTTTTTCTGCTTCTCTGCCCGAGGTATGTTTATTTTGGGGTGGATGTGGAATTGATTCATAGGAATCAATTCCACATATGTGCATGCCCCTGATAGAAACAGGAAAACTAGCTCTCTCTTGCCTGACCCCCCCTCACTCCCCCACCCGATTGGTCTCCTGACAGACTAATTGCTATCACCACCTGCCTGATCACCCTGTGTCCCCTCAGTCACCTCCAGAACAGCTAAATCATCCACCCCCGTACCTGTGTGCCACCTCACCTGCCAGCCTGACCCTGCCACCCCATTGGTCACCAGCCCAACCACTCCTGGCCAGCCTGCCACCTCACCCACCAGGCAGATTTTCCCCACACCAACCTGATTGCCCCCTGCTCCTTTGATCGTTCCCATGCCAGCTCGATCACCCCTATGTCAGTGGGATTGCCTCCCTACCAACCTTATTGCCCTTCACCAGTCTGCCAACTTGCCCGCCTGCCCAATTGCCCCCACCCACCTTTGATTGCCTCCCAGCAGCCCGATCGCCCTTTGCTCCTTACTTGTCCCTCTTCCCACTTGATCATTCCACCAACCTGATCGCTCCATGCCCCTTCAATTGCCCCCCACTAGTGAAGATACCAACACCTCTGGAGGGGGGGCAAAATCCACAGTCCTCCATTGCACCATCCACCCTGCAACCCCACAGGCCTTTGATTCAATATCCTTTTTTTGTACAGTCTCTCTCCTTTTTTTAATTGGTAATAAATAATACAATATATTACAGAAATCCAAATAACAACAAAGCCCCCCAAACAAATTACATAGTTCTGCAGCAGAACATCAAAGCAGCAAGACAGCAACCACTGCAGGAAAGAGCAGTCTATCACCCCCAGCACTTCTGAAGTTTTAGACTCAGACACCTGAGGTAATATATTTTCTGGATTTCCTTGAGGTGAAACATGGGGATTGTTCTGTATTCCTCTTCTCTGTGTAGCTTCTTCACCGTTGCCTGAAACACAAGGATGGTTTGGGCCTGCGGCTTCTTTTGGCTCCAAGCACAGAAGTCAACCTCAACATTTTCTTATTGCCTTTGCTCCTGTCTGCGCACCATGCCTTGCCTCATCCTCTCCTAAATGCAGACATCCAATCCTTCATGGGCAGGCTTTTATCTTCCACTCTCTCAGTCTCTTGCCAGTTGACAGTCAGCAGAACAGCACAACCAGGAACCATCATGTATACATGAAAGGGATACTGTCCTATCTAGGGTGTATCAAAAATAATTTATCTTCATTGGCTTCTTGCATGAACCAATGTGAGATGGGAGGCAAGTCAAAGCAAAAGTCTTTGTTTCATGTGTTTTTTATCTTCAAGACTCCAAGCAACTTTGAATTGGGGGGCAAGGCGGACTGGCGTGGGTTCCTCAAGTTCCTGAGGGAGTTTGTGGCTCCCCACCCCACCCCGCAAAACCACAAAAGCCCAAAAAGAACTGGTGGTAAGTGCAGAGGTCTGTTGGTCAACCCCTCCCTCCATCTCCAGCACAACTGTTGTCAAAGACACTTTTCTCCCCCGCCATGTGCTCATCTGAAACCCCATTCCAAGGTATTCCAGGTAATATTTATGCTTAAAATGGATTGACGGTGTATTATCGAGCATATGCAGAGCTAATAGCAAACGCTATTGTGTATAGTAAAATGACACCAAGCCAAAGAAATCCAAGCTCACATCACCATTGTCCCATAAACCCTGAAAGCCCCAAATCCCTGTGGACTTTGGGGGGAAGATTTGTCCCAGAATCCTATCAGGAGCTAAGCAAATGACTTTGCGGTGGGGCCGGGGGATTAATACCTGCAAAATGCCATGACCTCCTTTGACACAGTTGTCTAGAACACACCTCAGCCTTTGCAGCACCAAGAGGTTAAGAAGACGTCATTTCTTTTGTTGTTCTGGCATGACTGCCTGAAAGCGTTGCTCCCAAAACGGAGCTTGTTGGAAAAGCTTTTCCTTCAGCCGTGTTTCCCCACATACTCTCTCACACATGCATACTCTCTCACACACATCCAACCACCTGCTCAACACAGTTATTTACATGAATAATGTCTGCCCCACATTCCCTCTTGAAAGCCACGGCACCAGCAGAAACGAGATGTTCTTTGCATTGCAGAGAGTCAGTTTTTGTTCAGCATGAGGAGTGTGAGGTTCACCTCTTCCTCCTGGTTCCTGCTGGGGCCTTCCAGTCACGGGGAAGTCATCTCCATACTTTTCTCTTTCTCTTCCCACTCTTCCTCCGACTCATAGGTGCCTTTCACAATGGCCACCCTTTCAGACATACTCATTGAGTGGGGCAACAGGAGGTAGTTGTAAAGCAGAGAGGCCAGGATGCCTCCACAGATGGGCCCTATCCAGAAGACCTGAAAAACCAAGGGGAGGAATTAGAACCTTCCAGAGATGGTCACTGCCTGTCTACACGGCAGAACTGAACTGATTTAATTTCCACCCTCTCTCTTCTTGAAGTACTTCGGGAACTGTGGTTCAGGGGTCTGCGCTATGGCTGTCCCTCAGGGGATTTTAAAGATCTTGCCCAACTACAGATCCCAGGATTCTCTAGGATGGAGCACTGACAAAGTGGTATCAGACTGATCTTGTTGTGTTATGCAGCTACATACCTCTTCAGACTCCCCAGCCCTTGGTACCAGCCTACTGAGAGCAGACTATATAGTACTGGCTCATCTTGTGTAACATCTGCAGCGCAACCAACACCTGATGGCTCATGGCAAGCAAACTCTCTCTCTCTCTATATATATACAGTATATATATATATAGCTTTTCCGAAGTGCTACAGGAAGGATTCTATCCATATTCTTTGCTCATCAAACCCTTTGGTGTTATACATTTGTACTTTGGACTTTTCCCCCATAAAAGGCTGGCCGTGTGCAGCAATTACAGGTAGGTTTGCAGTTGCTTTGCTTGTTTTCCAAGAGTTGGCATCGACCCCAAGGTGAAACAAGAGCTTCTTACCCAATGAGCAGAGCTGAATCTTTTCATGATCACAGCAGGGCCAAAAGATCGGGCAGGATTCATAGAGCAGCCAGTGAAATAGATCTGTGGGAGGGGAAAAACAGGGCGGGTTAGGTTTCTAATGTGCGTGATTGCACCTAAATACATTTTCTAGCTGGTTTTGTTCCGTCTGCCAGTCAATCCACACTTTCCCCCTTTCCTTTCCTCTCTGATCAGTTGTGGCTTCTCTCATCTAGCATTTCTCAAGCCTTGCTGGTACTGCTTTTCTGGAAAGAAAACTTGGAAGTGCCCAGAGCCAAGGTGCTTTTTAACTCCTTCTGGGAAGCAGATCGTGGTTAAAACAAGGTGAGAGTGATTCCCAGCAGTTGCTTCTCCCAGCAAGATGGTCGTCACAGGGGACAAGGGTTTGGACACTGCCAGCTTAGGCTGCAAGTGCTGTGCCACTCCACCCTCATGCCAGTTCCAGCATATGTAATCACCAGTATTGAACCAAAGTTTACTATGTAGCTTTCACTTTTGAGTCATTTTGCTCTCACTCCTCTGTGGAGAGGGAGACATAAGAGGATGCAAAGGATTTTTGTCCTTTAAAAAAATCCCTTTTTAGTAATCAGTTCAGTGGCAAGTCAGTTATGCAACATGCCACTTATTTTTTTTAATCGCAGCTTCTAATTGCAGCTTTTAATTGCAGCTTTCCCCCAGTCCTCCACAGGGTGGGAGACAGGAGAGAATACGGAAGAGGACACCTTCCTTCCTTCATTTCTTTCCAGTTAAAAATGAGGACCAGCCTACATAGCTGGAGGTGCAGACTGCTTTCCTGTCCCTAAACTACCCTGTCTTTGTGTGTGTGGATGTACGGATCAGGTAATTTGGCACATTGCCCCTCAAAACAACCTTGTTTAACCCAATCCAGACCAGGGCCATTTGGCTGTCTACTTGAACCCTCTGACTTGGAATGGGGCCAATTCTGTTGTTTCTCACCATAATGGCGCCAGGGCCCAACTGAGGCCATCTGAAGCCCCAAGATGTGTTAAGAATAAGAAGTCTCAAAGATTTGTTTGTGTGTGTATGTGTGTGTGTGTTATTTTAATATATTGTGGTGGGGGGCATGCATTTGTTTTCTATTTGGAGGTTCTTCACAGTTTGAAGCCATAGACTGTGGCTTAGGGTTAGGGTTGTGTTGAGGTCCAGCACTCTGTCGCATCAGCCACATGGTACACATTCTCCACCCAGAGCAGCTGCATCAGACAACTTGTTCGTGCACATAAACATAGCCTGGTAGTGATATGATAGTAAGTGCACGTGCTTCCCAAGGACCATGAGCTGAGGGCTGCTGTGGGGCATGAAACATATGGTCTTTCCATCTCCTCCTCCCTCCCTCTCCCCCCCCCAAAATTGAAAATGGTTGTATATAAAGCACTCACCCCAACCAGGTGACCCAGGGTGACAGACAGCCCAATGGAGAGAGCTGGGGAGCCCACGTGGTCATTTCGGCGGCTGTCCGTCGAGGCGAAAATGCACATCACCAGCTGAAACGTTAGGATCATTTCCACCACCACAGCCTGGCCAGCGGTTGTGTTGTTGCTGAGCTGTTGGGAGGGAGAGGGAGAGGTTTAGGCAACCATTCTGGCCTGGAAGCCATGTGGAATATATATATATATCCTGCCTATCTGGTCGTTGCGACCACTCAAGGTGACTGAGGAATAGAAAATATCCTCTGGAAATGTGCAAAAGAATTTCATAGATGCAGTGGGAGTCTAATTCTTTTGAAAAAGTTACTTTTTTATACTACAATTCCCATATTCAGTCACCTTCCTTCTGAAAGATTTTGGGACTTGCTCTACCTGGGTCTTTTCAGCCTTGCAGAGGGTGTGGTTCTTAATGCTAAACAAGCAGTTTTGTTCACAGAGCTTCCAGAGAAGGACATGGGGATTTTCTTTCCACTGCCACCACCTCCAAAGGGTCAGGCGGGGCAGGAGACCGGGGAAATAAGGGTTAAAAAGCAAGAGCTGCCAAAGTATTAATCTCCCACCTCACTGCCCTGCACGTATCTCCTATCATCTCACCAATCCAGCTCAGTTAACACCATAGCTATGGCCTTTGTGACTGCTTAGAGCCTGTTCAAGGAATACCTTTTGAGCCAGTCTTGAATGAAGAGGTTCCTTACCTGTTAGATGGGTTTGGAGCTCACAATGAATGCAAGAATAGATTAAGAAGATGAACGCCAGTCATTTGAACTGAGTTCTGCAGGGCTGAATTCAACTCGCTTTTGAGATCACTCAACAGTGACTTTGGGCATGCTTACACAGGATGCTTAAAACAGCTCTTGCTTCAGTCAATTTTACATGATTACACTGTACATGTAAAATTCACCTGACTCAGAAGATTTAGCTGCAGCATAAATACCTCTCCCAAGCTCTCTCTTCTCCTTGAAGAACCATAGGAAGTTAGTGCCCTGTGCTGCTTTTCTACCCTGAGCATCACTCACTAAAAGCTGAATGGTGACAGAGTAAAAATATTGCTGATGGAAACCTAGGCAAGCAAGAACTCTATCCCATTATTTCTTAGGGTGGTTTGGTGGATCTCTCTTTTCCAGACAGTCTATATCTGGAAGGGCTATCATGGGATGATCCTCTGTCTGAAGACATCCTCTGTCTGAAAGGCTACATGCTCTGGATCAAAGACTTCAGAGAACCATAAAAAAGAGACTGAGCAGGCACATGGGTCATGTAGTCACAGCCTTTTGTGAGTCAAGTTGTACTTTTTATTTTACAATCGTTATAGCAAGATTGTGATT